TTGGTGAGAAGGTCAAATGTTTTTTAAAAAATATTCGAATATTTATATGCCAATGGATCATCCAAAAGTGAAGGAAAAATACAGTATGTAAAACCATTTTCTAAATTATAAAATTCAATATAAGGGCGCCTGAGTGGCTCAGTCAGTTAAGCATCTGCCTTCAGCTCATGTCATGATCCCAGGGTCCTGGGATCGAGCCCTGCACTGGGCTCCCTGATCAATGGAGAGTCTGCCTCCCCCTCCTCCTCCCCCCTTGCTCTCTCCCAAATAAAATCTGTAAAAAACTGTAAAATTCAATATAAATATAATTTATTGTATATATCTCCTTTATCTGCTTGCTTGGTTAATTATGTTAAAATCTGGTTTTTAGAACCTCCAGCTCCTTTTGAATTCTCTTTCCTCTCAGAGTCCCTGCTCCCAGGATCATACCTATTTTTTTCTCTGAATATTTTGAAATCTCTAACTATCGCCAGTAGCCCCTGCCTTTGCCATTATGAATGAATTCCAACAGTATATGACCGCTTTCATCCAAGGTCTTATTTCCACATCAATCTCCTTCACTCTCAGAACTTTAAAAACCATGTTCAGGTTTAATGGATTCATCCCATAGAATCACTTTCTTAAACCTAAGCTACTGAAAACAAAAATTTTATTGCATCTGTATGGTCAGTAAGATATCCCCCTCCCAAGTTGAACATTTGTTAAAATTGTTCTCTCAGGCTGAAACATCCAATCCTCAAAATTTCTACGCAAAGCAAAAAGTGGCTGACACCAGATTCTTCCCACATCTGCAGGCACAATGACATCATCAACACAGGGCCTTCTCCTTCCCAACCCCCCACTCCAGGCTCAGACAAAAAGTTAGTGTGTGCACACAGAGCACAGTTACACGTCTGCTCCACAGTAGGCACTAACTGGCTTACATTTGTTTCTAGCTCTAAACTCACCCTTTGAGTAAATTAGTAGTAAGAAAGCTACTGGAATCTGCAGATAAATAAGTCTCTTCAAAAGTCCATATCTAAAAATGAATTCTCAGTTAAAATGTGAAATTCGTTAGCACCAGACAAATGAAATCTCCATTTACAAATGCATTCTATTAATTGACAAAGAATAGATTTTCAAAGTGGAACACTTACTGTTTTATAAAGTTTAACACTTTCCAAAATGTACTTTTTTTTTTTAAAGATTTTATTTATTTGACAGAGAGAGACACAGCGAGACAGGGAACATAAGCAGGAGCAGAGGGAGAGGGAGAAGCAGGCTTCAAGCCGAGCAGGCAGCCAGATGGGGGGCTTGATCCCAGGACCCTGTGATCATGACCTGAGCTGTAGGCAGAGGTTTAACCAGCTGAGCCACCCAGGTGCCCCCAAAATGTACTTTTAAAATACCAAAGCACCTAAAGAAAAAGTTGCCTGTTTATCCTTTAAGGACATAGGGCAAATAAATTTTGCTCAGAAATTCATACATGCCTAATTGATAGTAGCACTTCAAAATATGAAAAGTTTCTAATATTTCACCAATCAAGTTATAGATTTAAAATGAGTCACCATGTTAAGCTCTAGGAAAATGTGAAGTTATTTTGTCTTTATGTTCATTACTACCAAACATTTATCCTCAAAATGCATTTTCATTAATTTCACATCTAGGGACTCCTGGCTGGCTGGCGGGGGGGGGGGGCAGATGGTGAATTCAAGTCCCACATTGGGTGCAGAGCCTGGAAGGAAGGAAGGAAGGAAGGAAGGAAGGAGAAAGGAAGGGAAGGAGAGGAGAGGAAGACTGATTCAAATCTATTGCCCACAGCTGCTTTTGCCAGGAATTCTGTCTTGTAACTTTTTTGTGTGTGTAATTTGAATATCCCTTTGTTTACTGTCAATACACAGTAAGTCCTCCACAAACATGCAAAGAATTCTCTTCAATTCAAAATTATAAGGCATAAAGATCACTAGAATTGCAATATTTTTCTTAAAATATAAAATTTTGAAACTCACTAAATCAAGAATAGCCATTTTCTCTCTCTCTTTTTTTTACTGAGGTATAACTGATGTAAGCTATTTCTTAAACATGAGTAGTTTTAACAGGTTTATACCACCACTGTTGTTTTTTATTGTTATGTTAATCACCATACATTACATCATTAGTTTTTGATGTAGTGTTCCATGATTCATTGTTTGTGCATAATACCCAGTGCTCCACGCAGAATGTGCCCTCTTTAATACCCATCACCAGGCTAACCCATCCCCCTACCCTCCTCCCCTCTAGAACCCTCAGTTTGTTTTTCAGAATCCATCGTCTCTCATGGTTCGTCTCCCCCTCTGACTTACTCCCCTTCATTCTTCCCCTCCTGCTATCTTCTTCTTTTTCTTTTTTCTTAACATATGTTGCATTATTTGTTTCAGAAGTACAGATCTGTGATTCAACAGTCTTGCACACTTCACAGCGCTCACCATAGCACATACCCTCCCCAATGTCTATCACCCAGCCACCCCATCCCTCCCACCCCCCACCACTTCAGCAACCCTCAGTTTCCTGAGACTGTTGTTTTTAAGATACATTCCTAAGTTCCTGCTACAAGAGTAGGAAAATGCCTTGGATTTCACGATTTACAGGTGAACTGATTTATAAAGGCCCTTACTAGTGCTTCAGGAAGAGAGATTTTTATGTTTTGTTCACTGCTGTTACCCCTGTCTCCCCAGTGGTACAAAGAATTTCGATTAGTATTTGCTGGACTGAAAGCACCTATGTCTGCAGATCCCTTAGTAGGAAGTCAGATCCAAACCACCTGTAGGATCTCACCTCTCACATCATGAGAGAACGTAGAGCAATCTTCCGTACAAAAAGAAAATGAGCTCCTAGAGAATGGAGAAGGGGAAGACAGACACTTAAGGAAACTGACCCCAGACTCAGCCTTTACACACTGCCCCAATGTGTTCACTTCAACGGGGTGTCTAAAACCTCACCAATTTAGACACTCATTTAGGTTAACAAGTCTGGTCTTTTTAAGAATGCAGGAACCATGGGAATGCCTGGGTGGCTCAGTCCGTTAAAAGCATCCGACTCTTGACCTCAAGTCTTGATCTCAGGGTCGTGAGTGCAAGGCCCGTGTTGGGGTCCATGCTGGGCGTGGAGCCTACTTTAAAAAATTTTTTTAAAAAGCAGGAACCATTCAACAACCTTGCTGAGGTACATATGTCATCATTCCCTTTTGCTGATGAAACTGAGGTTACGCAGCCAATTTACATTCCTAGTGTCACAAAGTATGTGTATGTACAGCAGGACTCAGAACCTTGAACCCCACAGTGACGCTGCCTCCCCAGAGACAAAGGAATAGGAGTAACCCTCATCCACACACCAGCTGCATGTGAGCTCCCAATTCCCTTCTAGTCCAACACCTAAAACAAGCGTTCTCAAAGAGGGGGCTTTCGTTTGGGGTGACAGGTAAGCAACAAGTAGTTTTAAAACATGGAACACTCCGGAGGCAAGAATCTAGAAGTGAGGATCGTGGATTTAGGGTGCTAGAGGGAACCAAGCCCCAAAGAAAAACCACAGATTTCAAAACCCTGCACAGGGCCAACTCTTGCTCCAGAACAGCTTGCCTCTCTCTCTTCCTCTTCCTTCCCTTCCCCGTGACCCTTCTGGTTCTCAGCACCAGAAAATAGGCTACCATTGTTAGTGCCATAGTTTGGCAACATGATGTGATCCAACTACAGTGACTGGCACAGAACAGGGACACAAATATTTACTAATTGAACCAAAGATCAAAGTTGTTTCTCTGGGCACGCTGGGACCCTAACTGCCATTTTTAACAAAGTGGAGACAAGAATGTCCTTTAAGCACCTGATTGTTGGTGTACAAATGAAGTTTTAAAGGGCAGGTCTACATTGGGGGCAAGCTACAAGGAAAGCCTTGCAGGATTCTCTTTCCTCAGTCAGTATACAAACAGCTTAGCACTTCAGCACACAAATACAGATCTCAGAAGAGGCATGATGTTTTAATATTTAGAGTATAAAAACAAAACCATTACCTTATTTAGGCTGCCTTGTTTAGGTCATTTTAACATGAATAGCAGCTTAGAAAAAAAAAAAACAAAACCCTCTCAGCATTCTCAGGATGAGTGTGGGGGTGGAGAAGACAGCAGACATTTTCCAAAAAGTTAGCAGTGGGAAAAAACAAAAAACAAAAAACCAACCCCACAGAAAATATCAAAAGGGAGAATGGTTCCTTTAAAACATGGCCAGTGATGTATACAAATATATGTTTTATACCAAATAATGAAACAGAGCCCGTGTTTTTAGGAAGACATGAGGATAAGACAATTCTTGAAAATTTTATCCATTTCCCCTTTGGTCAGCACCGGTGCCCTGAAGACTTGGCTCCTAGTCCCAGTCGGTATCAGATTCTTCATAATGTGAGATTTTTTCAGGCGTCAAATTACAGTCAAACTACTGGGGCAGAACAAGAGCCAAAAGCAACAGGGAAGATGCCCATTTTCCTCTTCCACCCTCCTCCCACTTGCCACTTAAGAAAAACGGCACGTTTTCCCGTTCGAAAAGGGCCTCATCCTCCGAGATCCAATGCAGCGTTAAGTCTGGGATTTCGGGAACAAACCTGCCGATCCCCAAAAGCCAGGTTAAAACCTCATTCACCATGAATTAGTTCTGCGCTCCTCCACCACCTCCTTTGTCTCAACTGTCCCCGCAAACTCGCAGTCCAATGCCCTCCCGTAAACAAGCTACCTAAACGAAAAGGAACGTTTTCTAAGTCCTCCGAAAAGAAGAGGAAGCCCCCCGGACGCGTCTGGAGCCCCCCCGCCAGCCGCTGAACAGGCCGGGCTGCACACGACGGAAAGCTCGGCCCCGGGGCCGCCGGCCGAGCGGAGCGGAGCGGAGCGGCGAGCCCGGCCGGGGTGGGGGCGCCGCGCCCGCCGCCCCCGCGCCCCGGCTCTCCGGGGGGCCGCCGCCCGCCCCCCGCGCCGGCTGCTCTCTCCGAGGCCCCGCACTCACCTCCGTGGATGGGCAGCGGCGCCAGCACCTGGCCGCGGACCTCGGCCTTGGGCGAGTCGAGCCCGTAGCGCCCGCGGTCGATGCGGAACGTGAGCGGGGCGCCGCGGCCGGGCTCCTGCACCGTCACGTTGATG